CGTACGTTCTGTTTATTGTATAGCATCATTTACGGTAAATATGCAAATATACAAGGTCAGAGGTACTACTTTCCGTGTCCTTGTCTATCAAGATTGGCGATCGGGGACCTGGACAAATTACTCGGATAAAATAAAAATAATCATCAAAATAATAGCCTAAGATACCGAAAATCGGTGTCTAACAGGGCGTAGCTGTAGCCTTTCACAAATGTAGGCAACTTTGAAGATATATATTGCGAAGAAATTTAGCCAGGACCATCCATGTGCTTGTTGGCCGTTGAGGCTTGGGCTCTTTTCCCGATATAAAAACAATTGGTTTTGGTCAAAATATGTCCGAAATTTTACCTTGTTTCACTTTGTCGCTCTGTGAAATATCTGACTGCATTTCGTATTAGTAAACCCGTTACGAAACAGTATGACAGGCCATTCGTGACCAACTGTATGACAGGCCAGACCAACAAACGTGACGTTTCATAGACTAGGGTAGCTTCCCATTGATAAAAGGCATCTTCCCGAGGCGAGAGTTTACTGACTATAAAAGTCCAGTTTCCACCCTTGCCGAACTAGGCTGGTATTATGGAGTTACATTTTGGCAGGACTAACGAGTTTATGCATAGTTTATCAAAATCGCGCAACGAAATCGAAATCCAGTTCGTAAACTGTCGTGCAGATTTTGCAAAGCATGTACACCGCCAACTCGTTGTCAACAAATATATTCCAAATCGTTTCATGTTTTCAATCAAGGTGCTCACGTGATTTGATGCATTGCGCGATGTAAGACCCGTTTTATCACAATATATACCTTGATTATCGATCAAATGGTATTGACTGGGAGCCACTGTTTTGTTTGAAGCAAATGCAAGTGATACGAGAGGTGGAATCTGATTGGTCTATAGGAGAGGCTTAGAAGGGACATAACTCGTAATAGCCACTGGTGGCGCTACGATAGAGTCCAGGAATTCCAGCTTAGTTCGGCAAGTTCACTGCCTTGCCTCGGGAAGATGATAAAAGGCGGATGAAATGCCGCGAAAGTTGAAACATTATATGGAGGAAATTGCCTTTAAGTCTAAAAGACAAGTTTCAGTTTGAACTATATTGACTGTTGTTACTGTCCAACAGACTAATCACATTGTGACGTAATATATTAATGCGCACATTTCAGGAAAACCTGCAATGTTCAGACACCGTTTGGGAGAGATGAAAATACCTATTTTAATGATAGATATTAACAATGACATTACATGATAAAGCAGTTATCACGCTGGTGTGTTGTGGGACACTAAATATCCTGTATTATGAAAATACATATTATATTTGGCTCCTAATACAGGCTTTACCATTACCATCTCAAAACACCTGTAAGCGTGACAACTTTATACGTGCATTATAGTGAGTGAGTACCTTTTTGGTATAACGCCGCTTTGAACAGTATTCGAGTTATATCACGGCGTGCCAGCTTAATGTGGGAGGAAAGTATGCAGGTCTCAGACGTTTACCACACTGGTGAAACCCACGAGCACGGGTATGGTGCTGACAAACCTAGAAACATAATTGGGGTGAACCGGGATTCGAACCCACAATCAGTGGTTTCTGCCGTGTCGACGTTCATTATAAGCTTTATACGGGCACTGGTTTAAAACCTTTTCGTTCAATATAAAAAAACTATACAAGCATTAGTATAAACCTATATTTATTAAAAAATGTCAATAAATGCGTGAATTAACAGTGATATGGTGTTTTTAATACACAAGTAATCAATCACACCTGTAGAACCCATGTCCCAAGGGGGTTACACGGCAAGCCAAGTACGATGAGGTCGACACGTAGGCGATGTCGTCTGTGGCGCAGGCAAACTGTTGCACGTGGAGGTGTCGTAGTGGAACTGACGTGTACTTTGTTGTATTGATTCCCAAACTGATGAAATATATGTCTGACTTGACGGTCATTCAATAATACTCACACTGTAGGAAGCAAAGTCAGGTAAGAGAGGTTAGCAGGTTAACACTGGCAGAGCGTCGAGAACATTGGTGGTAGATATTCTAATATATAGGATATGCTGCTTTGATGTTTTTACAGTTACATTTATGTCGTTGCAAGTCGACGCTGTAGCCGTAAAGGCCGTAGAAGCTGGACAGCAACGTTTAAATATTCAAAGTATATTGATTTTTGTCATCCACTAAACATTGACATTAGTTGTGAACATGGCATATGTGTTGCCATGTGTATTGATTGTTTGTTGTTTAACGCCACAATTAGCAATATTCCAGCTATATGAAGGCGGTCTGTAAATAATCGAGTCTGGACCAGACAATCCAGTCATTTATATCATGAGCATCGATCCACGCAATTGGGATACGATGACATGCATCAACCAAGTCAGCGAACCTGACCACCTGATCCCGTTAGTCAACTCTTACGACAAGCATAGTCGCCTTTTAGGGCAGGCATTGATTGCTGAAGACCTATTCTAACCCGTTGCCAATATAGTGATTATTATACGAGCATGTGTGTCATACTGATTTTACGATACAAGTGTCCGAATACGACATACAATGACATGAGTTGAAAAGATTGAATATGTGTTGCCATATAAAAATGTATGATGTGAAGAAGTATTGAAAAGAAACTATACCTCTCAGTTGATTTTATCATATGTTTGTTTTTTGGTTTTCAGTTTTCAAGTTAGCGATATGAGTGATGGTTAAGTTGCCAAAATCAATGTTTACAACAGGTTTTTTTAAATTTCCAATTACATAAAAAACAAACTCGATATAGTGTCTTTATTTTTTTGTCCCTCAGTTTAAAACAAAATTGTGAGTTGCGCCGCTCTCTTACCCAGAGTTCCTTGCGGTCAGCTTATACCGCCACCACAGACCAGCGCTTCGTCATATCTTACACGGTCTACTTAAGAAATAAAGTTTGCTCTACCCCCATGTGTAGTGTAATAAAGTATAGTTTTGCCCTGAACTATTATAGTTAATACACGAGGATGCGTATTTATGCTTTGTTTGCAATGATTGGTCGATTCCACCTGCAGACTGCAGACCTGGTTTTTGGATTGCGAATGAAATAGTCACATTGATATATTCAACTCACTGTTATGGTTGTTGTAGAGGATTTTTATAATTATACAATACAATCTGTAAATCAATCAGACAAATTTAAATGACCATTGACTGCTCAGATATTAATATATACCGCGTTTCTTTTCAAACAAGAAAAAAAATCCGGTCACGTGATATGCAAATGAGCTTGTGGCAGTTATGCGAAGTCATGACTGCGTTTAAGTGTGAAGTGACGCATATTTCTGTCTGTCATTAGCCTGGAAAATATGATAATATTCAGATAATAGGCCCATAGTTGTAATTAAAGAAAAATGTCGTTTTGCAGCTGAAGTTAAAAAAAAATCTATCTATCTATCTATCTATCTATCTATCTATCTATCTATCTATCTATCTATCTATCTATATATATATATATATATATATATATATATAAACAAACAAAGTATTGGATGTGCTACTTCTCGAAGTAACAAATTATTTTTAAAAGCAAATTGTATTTTTATACGACATACAATGACATGAGTTGTAGAGATTGAATATGTAAAGATTATTTCTCAAAATGGGCTTAATGTCATCTTCGACATCCCTCCATTCTATCCCATCATTGTTGGAGAGTTGGAGCTATATATAAGAATACGGTTAACGCACGTTGACAGAAACATAGCAGGTGCTCAATGCGCGTGTGTGAAATCAGGTGTGTTGTTGAAGCTACGCATATTGTTGTACGTCTGTGTAATTACAATAAAGTTGTACTTCCTCTGTGGCAGATGTCGCGTGGCATGTTGTGCAGGATGTGATAAACGACTTGACACTTTTATATCTGACGCGTCTCGCTCCGCAACCAGGCAAGCCTCGTGCCTTGCACATGAGACAGCCGCTGTGGTCTAGTGGTAGAGCGTCCGCCCGGAGAGTGGAAGATTGAAGGTTCGATTCCCGGCCGCGTCATACCAAAAGACGTTGAAAGATAGTACTTGTTGTTACCCTGCAGACAGACACACACAGACACACAGACACAGACACACACACACGTGCATGCACGTCGCGATAGTGCAGTAATCTTGAACGCGCCTTGGAATTTGGCTTTCAGTGATGATACGCAGTATACATAATGCTATTTGTTGTTTATTGCAGAGCTCCAGTACGAGATGGACATGCTGTGTGTATGGGTGCCTTACTTAACGCTATATGTTTGTTGCAGAGTTCCAGTACGAGATGGACATCCTGTGTGTATGGGTGCCTTACTTTACGCTATATGTTTGTTGCAGAGTTCCAGTACTAGATGGACATCCTGTGTGTATGGGTGCCTTACTTTACGCTATATGTTTGTTGCAGAGTTCCAGTACTAGATGGACATCCTGTGTGTATGGGTGCCTTACTTAACGCTATATGCTTGTTGCAGAGTTCCAGTACTAGATGGACATCCTATGTGTATGGGTGCCTTACTTAACGCTATATGCTTGTTGCAGAGATCCAGTACTAGATGGACATCCTGTGTGTAAGGGTGCCTTACTTAACGCTATATGTTAGTTGCAGAGTTCCAGTACTAGATGGACATCCTGTGTGTATGGGTGCTTTACTTAACGCTATATGCTTGTTGCAGAGCTCCTGTACTACATGGACATCCTGTGTGTATGGGTGCCTTACTTAACGCTATATTTTTGTTGCAGAGCTCCTGTACTACATGGACATCCTGTGTGTATGGGTGCCTTACTTAACGCTATATGCTTGTTGCAGAGTTCCAGTACTAGATGGACATCCTGTGTGTATGGGTGCCTTACTTAACGCTATATGTTTGTTGCAGAGCTCCTGTACTAGATGGACATCCTGTGTGTATGGGTGCCTTACTTAACGCTATATGCTTGTTGCAGAGTTCCAGTACTAGATGGACATCCTGTGTGTATGGGTGCCTTACTTAACGCTATATGTTTGTTGCAGAGTTCCAGTACGAGATGAACGCCCTTTGTGTATGGGTGACTGTGGGCTTGGCGTGTGTGCTGTTTTGTCAGACACTGGGTGCAGGTGAGTTATTGTGCTACAAACACTGAACATCAGCCTTGCATTCAATGAATTGCCATCGAAAACCAGAAAAAAAATGAATTCACACCTTTTTAAAAAATATATATTTCTGGGAGCAGTTCTAACGGGAGCAGTCACATGAAAGTCTGAATTCTTTATCTCATGGAATTGGGGATTGACAGATCGGCATGTTTTCCAGCCGACAAAATATACTTTTCAGGTTTTCTAACAGTTCAGTTTAAATAACAGTTCTAATCCTCAGAAAATGAACAGCATCACCATCGTAGGGAAATGAGATAAAATACAAGAATACAAGAAAGCTCGGGTCAGATCCTCCTCCTTGGTTGGTTGATGATGCTCCACGGCCTCTGTTTTGATAATATTTTCGCAATTGTAATATGATTAGTGTGTTAATCTCGTTAGCGATGTCAGCATTCTCGCGAGGTATTTTGGGGGAATGTCTCAAAACTGTTGAAATTAAGCATAATAATTTTTGGGGGAATGTCTCAAAACTGTTGAAATTAAGCATAATAGTTTATCTGACATGAAAGTTTCAACAGCTCTCTAAGTTGAGTAGATACGTTCAGTTGTAATAAACACAGCTCCATTTCTTTAGGGGACAAGTCGAGTGTGAAGAAGCCAGAAGGTTCGCACCTTTCCCGGCATGCACATTCTCTCCTATCTACTTCCTGCTGCCGCATGCCACATCTTCAGTATTGTATTTCTGTTTAAGGCATGGGTGACTGACCAAGAGTTGATAACTTCAGCCTCTTCTTTACACGATGTCTTCTTTACACGATGTCTTCTTTACACGATGTTTTCTTTATACGATGTCTTCTTTAGAAAAATAGGCAAAGCATTTCAGATACTGTTTGCTTATGGGGAGGCAATTTGAATTGAAAATGTTAAAATAGATTTTTGTACGTACAGAATATAGATAAAAAGTTCACAGTTTGTTTTAAAAACCCAGCATTCTGCTGAAAGAGATGCTGTTGGGGTCATCGTGATCCGCAAATGACGTCAGTTGTGGTAGAGGATGTTGCAAACCGTACTCGTACAAGCAGACACAACAACAACAACACACACAGACACACACACACACACACAGGTCGACAGGCACACACACACACGAGCATTCACGTCGCTATATAAGTGCAATAGTCTTGTTAAGAGGAGCACGTTTATGGGCCTATTCTAAATGAACATGGATAAAGTAAATTGAATACAGTGCCACTAAATAGGGACAAAGGAACATATTATTTGACTGTTTTCCTATTTACCTAATCACCTTTCTATTTTACCCGTATTCTTTGAGATGTGGCTCGTGTAAAAGTAATATACCCGTATCTGGCGCGTCTCTATATCACATGACGTGTTTCTTGAAACTGGGATTTCCGGTGCATGCTCTCTCTATCACTTTACGCATGATCCAGTTCAAAAACGTAATCGTAGCTCTACAACCATCCTTACCTGGACGGCAGCCATATATCGCCGGGTGTCTAGGTTCCACAAGGCGCGGTGCATGCCCAGAGATTCTGTTTCCCTATCCCGAGTAGTAGTAGTAGTAGTAGTAGTAGTAGTAGTAGAAATAGTGATAATTGTAGTAGTAGTAGTAGTAGAAATAGTGATAATTGTAGTGGTAGTAGTAGTAGAAATAGTAATAATTGTTGTAGTAGTAGTAGCAGTAGTAGTAGAAATAGTAATAATTGTAGTAGTAGTAGATATTGTAATAGTAGTAGTAGTACGAATAGTATTACTTGTGGTAGTAGTAGTAGTAGTACTTAGTCAAAGAATTGTAGTAGTAGTTGTAGAAATAGTAGTAGTAGTAGATGTAGAATATGCTACAGTCAAAGGACATAAAACTTGATGCGGTAACCATGGTAACAGACACTAAATATAACTGACTAACGTATCCGACTCCCATCTTGTCGTCCTGTTGCAGAGGTTACCGACTGTCTACCGATCAAAGATCCACGCTGTGTGAATTCATCCAGCACAGCCAACATCAATGGCGTGAGGTTCTGCTGCCCTGGGTCCGGATCTATGTCGACGAGCACGACGAATAACAACGGCGTGCAAACCCAGTCGTGTAAATGTGGCGGGCCCGTCAAGATGCCGGAGATGCCGGACTTCCACTGGCCCCGGATGCACAACCCACTTCCGTTCGACAACAACTGGGGATGGAAGTTCAGATAAAGGATCTGTTTCCAAGCTCCACTCCGTTATACCCAGACGTCTCTCAGCAAGCTTAGCATTGCAATGTATTATTTGTCAGTCTTAATAAATCATTTGAAATGTTGCTTGTGTTTCGAATAATACCAGACACTACAACCCAGCGCCTGACATGCATGTAGTTACTTAAAATAAGGGAACAATCGCTTGACAACTTAAAGTTGACTCTTATAGCCATCTTGAACACAAAATTAGCTGAGAATCCTACCCATACTTCACCAGGTGGTATCGGCTGATACGTTAGATTCCTAGTTGGTGAATTGGGTGAAACACCGAGGAACATATGGGTATTTATATCATACGTAGTTGAAAAAAGTAACTGAAACGGACATAAAATACTCACACAGTCCCGAAAATAATATAATTAGTTTCTGAATGCATTTCTTCCGCCCTGCCTCAGTGCTCTAGCGGTACATTCGTCACCACTCGCCTCTTTCCGTAACCTGCAAGAACGGCTTGTCCCGGAATAACACGAGTTGGTCACGAATGCTAGCGGTAATGTCAGCGACTGGACATCATTGTTCGTATCCCAGGCAGGACTGTATACACTACAATATTCTTGACGTTGAACGTGTGGAATTGAGATAGAAATAGTATAAGTGCATTATACAGTATAGGTATGTTATTAATGCGTCGTCACTGCGTACTCGTATATTGTGGTTCATATAAGACATTGCACAGGTGCATACTGTGGTGCATATACATCATTACGCAAGTGCGTGCTGTGGTGCATATAGGTCATTGCGCAGATGCATTCTGTGGTGCATATTAAGGGATTGCGCAGCTACGTACACATGTATGTCACTGCGCAGGTGCAAACAGCGGTACATTTATGTCATTGCAAAGGTGCGAACTGTTGTGCGTATAGGTCATTGAGGAGCTACGTACTGTTGTGCATATAACTTATTGCGCAGGTGCATACTGTTGTGCATATTAAGGCACTGCGCAGCTACGTACATACTGTGAAGCGTATATGTCACTGCGCAGGTGCATGGTGTATATAATGTCATATGTGCAGGCACGTAATGTGGTGCATATAAGTCCTTGTTGAGATTGCGCAGGTGAGTTATGTAGGGCAAACTGTGGTGCATATAAGTCATTGCGGAGATTGCGCAGGTGAGTTCTGTAGGGCAAACTGTGGTGCATATAAGTCATTGCGGAGATTACGCAGGTGAGTTCTGCAGGGCAAACTGCGGTGCATATAAGTCATTGCGGAGATTGCGCAGGTGAGTTCTGCAGGGCAAACTGCGGTGCATATAAGTCATTGCGGAGATTGCGCAGGTGAGTTATGTAGGGCAAACTGTGGTGCATATAAGTCATTCAGAGATTGCGCAGGTGAGTTCTGTAGGGCAAACTGTGGTGCATATAAGTCATTGCGGAGATTGCGCAGGTGAGTTCTGTAGGGCAAACTGCGGTGCATATAAGTCATTCAGAGATTGCGCAGGTGAGTTCTGTAGGGCAAACTGTGGTACATATAAGTCATTGCGGAGATTGCGCAGGTGAGTTCTGTAGGGCAAACTGTGGTACATATAAGTCATTGCGGAGATTGCGCAGGTGAGTTCTGTAGGGCAAACTGCGGTGCATATAAGTCATTGCGGAGATTGCGCAGGTGAGTTCTGTAGGGCAAACTGTGGTGCATATAAGTCATTCAGAGATTGCGCAGGTGAGTTCTGCAGGGCAAACTGCGGTGCATATGTCATTGCGGAGATTGCGCAGGTGAGTTCTGTAGGGCAAACTGCGGTGCATATAAGTCATTGCGGAGATTGCGCAGGTGGGCTCTGTAGGGCAAACTGTGGTGCATATAAGTCATTGCGGAGATTGCGCAGGTGGGTTCTGTAGGGCAAACTGCGGTGCATATAAGTCATTCAGAGATTGCGCAGGTGAGTTCTGTAGGGCAAACTGTGGTACATATAAGTCATTGTTGAGATTGCGCAGGTGAGTTCTGTAGGGCAAACTGTGGTACATATAAGTCATTGCGGAGATTGCGCAAGTGAGTTCTGTAGGGCAAACTGTGGTGCATATAAGTCATTGCGGGTGATTGCGCAGGTGAATTCTGTAGGGCAAATTGCGGTGCATATAAGTCATTGCGGAGATTGCGCAGGTGAGTTCTGTAGGGCAAACTGTGGTGCATATAAGTCATTGCGGAGATTGCGCAGGTGAGTTCTGTAGGGCAAACTGTGGTGCATATAAGTCATTCAGAGATTGCGCAGGTGAGTTCTGTAGGGCAAACTGTGGTTCATATAAGTCATTGCGGAGATTGCGCAGGTGAGTTCTGTAGGGCAAACTGTGGTGCATATAAGTCATTCAGAGATTGCGCAGGTGAGTTCTGTAGGGCAAACTGTGGTGCATATAAGTCATTGCGGAGATTGCGCAGGTGAGTTCTGTAGGGCAAACTGTGGTGCATATAAGTCATTGCGGAGATTGCGCAGGTGAATTCTGTAGGGCAAATTGCGGTGCATATAAGTCATTGCGGAGATTGCGCAGGTGAGTTCTGTAGGGCAAACAGTGGTGCATATAAGTCATTGCGGAGATTGCGCAGGTGAGTTCTGTAGGGCAAACTGTGGTGCATATAAGTCATTCAGAGATTGCGCAGGTGAGTTCTGTAGGGCAAACTGTGGTACATATAAGTCATTGCGGAGATTGCGCAGGTGAGTTCTGTAGGGCAAACTGCGGTGCATATAAGTCATTCAGAGATTGCGCAGGTGAGTTCTGTAGGGCAAACTGTGGTGCATATAAGTCATTGCGGAGATTGCGCAGGTGAGTTCTGTAGGGCAAACTGTGGTGCATATAAGTCATTGCGGAGATTGCACAGGTGAGTTCTGTAGGGCAAACTGCGGTGCTGTCGTAAGGTCACGTGTATAAGGTCAGCCTTGAACTATTTCTAAACTCTAGCTCTGTCGTAAGGTAACGTGTATAAGGTTAGCCTTGACCTGTTTCTTATCACTGGCTCTGTCGTAAGGTCACGTGTATAAGGTCAGCCTTGAACTGTTTCTAATATCTAGCTCTGTCGTAAGGTCAGGTGCATTAGGTCACCCTTGATCAGTCTCTTGTCTCTAGCTTTGCCGTGAGATCATATATAAAAGGTCAACCTTGAATTGTTTCTAATCACTAGCTCTGTCGTGAGGTCACGTGTATAAGGTCAGCCTTGCCCTGTTTCTAATCACTAGCTCTGTCGTAAGGTCACGTGCATAAGGTCACCCTTGGTCAGTCTCTTGTCGCTAGCTTTGCCGTGAGGTCATATAAAAAAAGTCAACCTTGAATAATATTTATTGTTTCCAAACTCTAGCTCTGTCGTGAGGTCGCGTGTATAAGGTCAGCCTTGACCTGTTTCTAATCACTAGCTCTGTCGTGAGGTCACGTGTATAAGGTCAGCCTTGACCTGTTTCCAAACTCTAGCTCTGTCGTAAGGTCACGTGTATAAGGTCAACCTTGAACTGTTTCTTATCACTAGCTCTGTCGTGAGGTCACGTGTATAAGGCCAGCCTTGACCTGTTTCTAATCACTAGCTCTGTCAGCATTGTCCTGTTTCTAATCTCTAGCTCTGTCATGAGGTCACGTGTATAAGGTCAGCCTTGACCTGTTTCTAATCTCTAGCTCTGTTGTAAGGTCACGTGTATAAGGCCAGCCTTGACCTGTTTCTTATCACTAGCTCTGTCGTAAGGTCACGTGTATAAGGCCAACCTTGAACTTTTTAAAATCTCGCTCACTGTAACAATACTCTTTGTCGCGTGGTCAGGCTCGCTTCAGCTACCCATGCTTGTCGTAAGAGGCGACATACGGGAGCGGGTGGTCAAGCTCGTTGACTTGGTTGATGCCTGTCATCGTATCTCAATTACGTGGATCGATGCTTATGATGTCAATCACTGGATAGTCTGGTCCAGACTCGACCGCCATCACGAAGGCTGGAATATTGCAGATGGCGGCTTTAAACAACAATCAAACAAACAAAACGTTATTCGAGCTCAAACTGGCACACAACATATTGTTGGGGAACAGTAAGCAAAGTGTGTGCATCCATTTGGATGAAAACACATATGCCGCTGTGGGACGATATATCACTACGCAGATCTTCACCTTCAGTGTATCAATATCACACAGGTTTTGATTGGCACGACAGTCACTCAGAGAGTGAGTTTGGTTTTACCACCCCGTGAGAAACGTTCCACCCATTTCCAGCAGACTTTGTACCAATGTGTGGAATCGAACCCGGGGGAAGGGGAACGCTTGAGCCACCAGACTATCCAAGCATGTCAGGAAAGGACGGGTCCGCCTGTGGGTAATCTCGAACTAAACATAGTCTGTCGCATAAATGGGTGAAAAGTACTTTTTCCACTCCAAAAGACGTCCACAAGTCTCTCTCATTAAAAACATAGCTTTTTGCTCGTTACCGCAAAACAAACATCTGAGGATATCCCATTACACGTCACGTCAGAATGACCTTTTCCGAACTTTGACCTACTAATGAAATGACAGGAAGTCGACATTAGCCAATCAGAAAGAAGCATTCTCGAACTGTACTGCACTATTTTTAAAATAGCGAGTTCCATTCCAGACTAGACTTTGAAAAATATTTGACAAAGTTCTAGATTCAAAATTTGCAAAATGAACAAAATGAATAGATGGCCGAGAGTTTTCGGCAATACTTTTTTTCGGCTATGGAAAGTCCTGAAAGGTCATTCTGTCATGACCTGTAACGGGATGTCCTCAGAGCTTTGTGTAGTGTAGCGATTAACATCTGAATTTAATGAGATTGTTCACAAGTTAGCGACCAAATCGTGCACTCTACAGACGATTCAGTTCATGTGGAGGCTTGTTGTATCTCATCTTCCCGAGGCAAGAGAGTTAACTGACTTTGAAAGTCCAGCCGAACTAAGCTGGACTTCCTGGGCTCGATCGTAGCGCCACCAGTGGCTATTACCAGTTATGTCCCTTCTAATCCTCTCCTATGGACCAATCAGATTCCATCTCTCGTATCACTTGCATTTGTTTCAAACAAAACGGCGGCGCCCAGTCAAGACGATCTGATCGATAATCAAGACCTATATTGTAGTAGAATGGGTCTTACAT